TTTATAAATACTCTTGTTTCTCGGGTTTTAATAAGCTAGGCGTATAGAAATGGATGAATAATCTTGATTAGGTGGTGTTGTACCTAAGGCATTTGACTGCTAACCAGAAGGCTGATAGTTCAAACCCACCAGCCACTCCTCAGAAGGAAGACTGGGCAGTCTACTTCCATACAGATACCGCCTAGGAGACCCAAGGAGGGGTCACTATGAGTCTGCTCTGACTCAAAGGCAGTGAGTTTGTTTGTTTGTTTGTTTTAAATAGGTTAAGTATGAGTGAGGGGGATTCTCAAGAAACAGAATACTAATCAATCCACAATCAAAGTCAATGTTTTAAAGAAATCCATAAATCTTAACCCAAATGTGGCCACTCCAGAACATCTTAAATATGGAAGGTGTCTGATAACCTTTTGTTAAATTAATAAATACAAAAACTCTACAGAGCAGTTTCACTGACAGATCACAGGCTTTTCCCATTACATTTAGTGACTCAAAACAAGAAATTAATTTACATAATATGTTTTCCAAAAAAAGAACTACTTGGTGTTAATTAACACACACACACACACACACATACACCCTAAAACAAAACAAACAAACCAGCCTGGGAACTGGTATAGTTCTAAAATAGAAGAAAACTCTCTTCTTTCCAGCCAAATCCCAATTGGCAAAAATGATATACTACCTCCTGTATATAGCCAGATGCTGAATATCAAAAAGTGAGTGTCTCACTTAAATTACTTTAGGAGACAGGTTTATTATTAATGTAATGAGAATAAACAACACAGCTTAATCTCCCCATGATAAATATTCAGGGGAGGACAAAGTAAATTAAATTTAACTACATTAAGATATATTAGTTTTCTTAGAAGATACAATATCTGAAATCCTGACCCAGCAATGCTCCCCCCTTACAATCAACTGTATTTACTAAATGATAAGAGAAAAATACTCATTACAGGTATAAAATAAGAGGTCACTTACTAAGTGATTAATTATTAAGAATATCAATAAACACCTCTTTATTTCACAAAATATTGAAAAAAATTCAAACTCACAGCAAGTTCAATAAAAATAAACTTGTATAAATAATGTAGTATGTATTACTACCATAATAAGCCATCATATTCCAAGATGTACATTAGTCAAATAAATAGGAAGTTCTCTAGTTATCTTGATGAAATCTCTCTTACGTGAGTGGCGAAAAAAGATTAATCAGATTTTAATATTACTGTACCATTTCTATGAGCCATTAACATACATACTCTCACTCTTAGACAAAAGGAAAGCCCATTCATCACATATTTAAAAGTACAACTTTAGCAGATCTGAGCGTGCTTTGACTGACACCTTCAGGCAACTAGTAGCAACTGCATCCCTAGAATTAGTCAGGTATCAACTCTACTGTAAATAAAGGGACATCACTATTTCAGAAAGAAGTCAAAGCAATTATTAGATTCTGATTAAAGTATTTCCTAAACTGGAAACTACTGAAAATTGAGACTTTCCGGGAAAAGCATTTACGATTGTAATTCACTATAGTGCCACAAAGAAAACTCCAATAGTTAAGCTTCCTTATGATGCTTTAACAGTGACATTTCTAAGGATCTGTGGCACACTTACAATATAGGCTATTAGGAATATCTGGATCCTCAAGTTTGAGTTTCTACATAAAGCTTCTAATGTCTATAAAAAGCAGTTCTCTACAGAAATGTAATAAACCATTATGAAATTCAGAATTAAATTTTTTTATTGTGATGAGAGTGAAAAGTTTACCGAGCAAAGTGATTTTCCATTCAACTGTTCATACAGGTGTTGTTTCCTGACACTGAATGCAATCCCCACAATGTAACAACAGCACTCTTCCCACTTACTCCTTGCAGCAACCATTTCCATATGTCCTTCTTTCCCACCCATTCCTGCCTTCTGAACATTATCCCTGGGCAAATGGTGTCCTTTTGATCTCCTATGGTTGACTGTTCTAAGGAGTAAATTACCTCCCTGGTGTTACTGTTAACCCCATAGGCTTTGTTTATTATTTGGGTAAGAACTGAGCCATTAAGGGGAAGCTCAGTTTTGGGCTTGATGGGTGACTAAGGCCCATTGTCCAGAGGGGTTCCATGACTCTCCATGAGACCAGGAAGCCCAGTCTATTTTATTATTTTGAGTTTTGTTTCCCATTTTTCTCCCTTTTTGTCCAGGATCATCTACTGTGATCCCTTTCAGAATGGTAGACAGTGGTACCTGGGCACTAATTAGTTCTGGTCTCACAGTTGCAAAGGCTGAGGTTCATGTGGTCCACTAGTCCTTTGGACTAATCGTTTCTGTGCATTTTTTATTTCTTGGCTCCAGATGAGAAGAAACCAACAACTGCACCTTAGATGGCTGCTTGCAGGTTTATAAGACTCCAGTCACTCCTCACCAAAAGAGAATGTAGAACATTGTCTTTGTATACTATGTTATGCCAAATGACCTTGATATCCCCTGCAACTATGGTCCTGAGCCCCCAGCATAATAAGCAGTAATATTTTAAGCAGCATAATTATAAAATATTATTTAAATGTTCTGCATCTAACTTAGGGGCCTATTTTGGTTACCTAGGTGCCACTCTAACAGAAATACCACAAATAGGATGGCTTTAATGAACAGTTTATTCTCTTACCCTTTTGGAAGCTAAAAGTCCAAGTTCAAAGTATCAGGCTCTAGGGGCAGGATGAAAGCCCCTTGACCTTGGGCTTCAGCTCTGCCTCTCACTCCCAGCCCACTGAAGCTAAAGCCATCTCTTCATTCAGGCAGCTGCTGGCTGCTGAGGTGGACAAACCCAAGGTCGACAAGTAAAAAGGCATAGTTCTCATATGACCAAACCACACAGCAGGTGCCAAAGGGGCTAGGAGGCCTCATCTTCTGACCTCCTCTAATCCCACAAGAAGAAGACAGAATCACAATCAGTAGCCCAAGGCCTACTCCTGTGAGGTGAGACATGCTGCCTCCCTCCAGTCCTTTCACCAACCATTCCTCCTGCAGCACCCACCACCTCTTTGCTGGGTTCCATAATTTGCTGCAGTGGCCACACAGAGCTCACAGATTATGGAGTTCATTAGGAAAGCAACAGGCTACAATTCAAGTTCAGAAATAAACTCAGTCTCTCACAGCCAGCCGTCTTACTCAGCAGCCAGAAGTCTCAGTAGCACATTGCTCTCTCAGCAGTGCATATCTCTAGCATCTCTCTCTCAGTAGCACGTTTCTCTCCCATCTCTCTCTCAGCAGTGTATCTCTCATGTCTCTCAGGAGTGCGTTTCTCTCAGCAGCATGTCTTTCTCAGCCAGCAGTCAGAGACTCCTTCTGCCTCTGGGAGGGCTGCTTTTGAGCTTGGCAGAGTGGCCCAAACCAACCAATCCCAACATCAGAATTCTACACACCTGAGAGCGAGCAAACTTCCTAGAAAATTACTTCATGCTGCTCCCAACAGAAATACCCCAGGTGGACAACTTTAACAATCAGGAGCTACTCAGATGCTCACAGCAAATTCCACGGAGTTTACAAAGATTTATGGCTAGAAAAGCCACACTGTAATTTACTACACTGCAGCAGGCCATTGATTAAAGTCCATTTAAAGTCCCAAGATTGGCAGAGCATGGTAGGCTGAACAACCACTGAGCTACATGCAAGGATCAAGCATGCCATAAGCTAGAGATCTTCCTCAAAGCTGCTTCTTATATACTGGAACACATCCCTAAAGCAGCTCCACAGGTGCTCCAGTAGATTCCACCATGAAACTGACTGCCAATGTCACCACGGGGAATAACTACATCCAGCTCCCCAGCCACTGAACAAGGTCCAGCCAAGCTGACAACAACCTTAACTACCACAGGGCACCAATTTATGGCATAGACAGACTATTAAAGATAACCCAAAATGCACAAACAGCAGAAGATAAACTAGATGACTGGGACCTTCTAAAAATTTAATTCTTATGTACATTAAAAGACTTTTCCAAAAGAATGAAAAGAAAAGACAAAAAGAGTAAAAAGAAACCCTACCGATTGGGGAAAAATACTTGGCAATGACATATCTGATCAAGGGACTTACCTCTAAAATATACAGAATACTCCAGCACCTCAACAGCAAAAAAACAAACAATCCAATTTAAAAGTGGGCAGAAGACATGAATAGACATTTCACCAAAGAAGTTATTCAGGCACACAACAAACGCAAGAAGAAATGTTCATAACCATTACCCATTAGAGAGGTGCAAATCAAAGTAACAATGAGATACCATCTCGCCCCAGCACTAATAGCAAAGTTCAACAGCACAGAAAATAATAAGCACTGGCAAGGATGTGGAGAGATTTGGGCTCTCATACACTGCTGGTGGGACTGTAAAATGATACAACCACTGCAGAAATTGCTATGGTGATTCCTTAAAAAGCTGGAAATAGAAATACCATTTGATCCAGCAATCCCATTACTAGGTGTATACCCTAAAGAAGTGAGAGCTAGGATATGAACAGATGTATGCACACCATGTTCATTTCAGCACTATTCATAATAGCAAAGAGATGGAAACAACCTAAGCGCCCATCAACGGAGGAATGGATAACCAAACTATGGTATATACACACAATGGAATACTATGCAACACTAAAGAACTATGTAAAACCTTGGAGGACTTGGAGGACATTATGCTGACTGAAATAAGTTAATCACAGAAGGACAAATATTATATGAGTCCACTGCTGTGGACTTTCACCATTGTGAAAGTCAAGGAAAGGCTTATATATGCAAGGAAACTTTCTTTGTTGGTCAGGGGTGTGTGTGTGTATGTGTATAAAGTTCTGTACATGAATTTCATTTGTTGCTTTAATGGCAGGCAGAAAGGGAGATGGAAGGAAAAAAGTTAAAAACTGTAATTAAGCTATAAGGAAATTTTCTAAATTATTAACATAATCATACCAAATAAATGCCATTAAACCAAATATAGTTGAAGATATTTTACATTTTACCTGTACAAAGATAATGCAACCATGTAAGTTTCCTTCCACTGAAATGTTGGCTGTAAAATAATTCAAACTGTAAAAAAAAAAAAAAAATTATTATTATTTCCAGCTATTATAACTTACCTGCCAATCACCATGCTACATTTTTTTTTTTTAAGTTCACGTTACAATGGTTATTATAGCGCATCTGGTATACTCTTTCATTTTAAAGATGAGAAGACACACCCATGAAGTCACTAGCCAACATCAGACAAATATTAACCCAGCTCCTTTCACTGACCATTTCATGTAGGGTTTTCTCCTGTAAATCACAGCAGTGAAAATTTAACTTTTCATATAAATTCAGAAATGACACAGTAATTCATTATCATTTTTGGATATTAATAATTTGTTGCTGTGTGCCGTCAAATCGGACCTAACTCATAGTGACCCCTCCTTGGGTTTCCGAGGCAGTATCACTATGGAAGTAGATTGCCCAATCTTCCTTCCGAGGAGTGGCTGGTGGGTTTGAACCGCCAGCCTTCTGGTTAGCAGTCAAGTGCTTTAGGCACTACGCTACCAGAGCTCCTCTCCCATAGTTTAAGAGGCTAGAAGTCTAAATCCAGGGCTCCAGCTCTAGGGGAAGGCTTTCTGTCTATGTCAGCTATAGGGGAATATTCTCTCCTTTTAACGTATGTGGACTTAGCATTCCTGGGATATCTCTATGGGTCTTGGCATCAACCTTCCCTTGTGTCTAGGAGATTCTCAGCACAGGGATCCTAGGTCCAAAGTACATGCTTGGTTCACAGATCTTCTACATGGGTGATACTGACTGAGGTCCCTTTTTCTACATGGGTGATACTGACTGAAGTCCCTCTTTCTTGACTAGCTTCTCTCAACTTTCATCTCTTGCAAGATAAAACATGATGCAGATCACACCCAGGGAAACTCCCCTTCCTAACATCAGATCAGGCTGTGAATGAGTAAGGGCACTGTATCCCACTCTAATCCTGCTTCATTAACATAACAAAACAACCAAACCCTTATTAACATAGTTACCACCTCAGAAACCCAAGGGAAACCCAAGGAGGGGTCACTAAGAGTTGCTATGAGTAGTGAGTTTGGTTTTTTTTTGTTTGTTTGCTTGTTTGTTTTAATCCTGCTTCACTGACACACAGAGGTAAGGATTTACAACACATAACAAATGGCTTGAAGCTTTTATTTGTTTATCAAACATTACCATTTAGTTTAAATAAAGTAATAAACAGAGTTAGTTTATTCTTTCATCAGTTTAAGGAAAGTTCACCCTGAACAGAAAAGGTGAAGCTAGTCCAACACGATTTTCCCTCCAATGTTGCACCACTCTCCTCTAGCAGGATAGTCACCAGTCCCTTTGTGTGATCACTAGAAGATGTCCAGCACCAGGAATACAAAAGATTTTCTAACTGCTTCTAGTCCAGAGAAGAAAAAGCAAAATATGCCATAATAACCCAGGTTGTCAATAAAATTCCATTACTACCACACAACTCATAACTTAATTAAGTTTAAAGACCAAAGAAAAATAAAGAACTTTTTAAAATAATAAGAGACCCAAGCTTAAAAGCACTCTTTATAAATTAACTAAGTACAAAATTACCTTTTAAGATACAGACTCTAAGTTGTGAAGATGCATGTTTTACCTCTTTATATTCTAGCAAGGAGCATTTTTCACTAAAGTTTAACTGATGATATTGTTGTGGCAAAAAAAATGTCCTTCATCTTTAAACTGAAAATCTAATTTAAAAGACTCTCATATGGGTATCAAACCAAACCAAACTCACTGCAGTCGAGTCGGATCCGACTCATAGCAACCCTTCCTTGAGTTTCTGAGGTAGTAACTTTCCTTCTGAGGAGTGGCTGGTGGGTTTGAACCACTAGCCTTCTGGTTAGCAGTCAAATGCCTTAGGCACTACACCACCAGAGCTCCCCATAAAAAATAAAAAAAAGACTCATTTTCAAATGGAAATATTGTAAATTAATCTGGTATCACAAAGACAAAAAGTTGTATAAACCTTGCTTACTGAATAATTATTTGTATTACCAAAGTATATCAGTAAAAAACATATTTAAATTTCTCATTTTAAATTAAGTTAATATTCAGGCTAAAGGATATCATGTTTTAAATATTCTGTGAGGGCATTTAAACAGAACCTTGAGTATACCCCACCTGAATTTTCAGACCATTTCAAAAATAGATTTGACACGCTGAACAGTAATGACTGAAGACCCAATGAGTTGTGGGATGGCATCAAGGACATCATACATGAAGAAATCAAAAGATCATCAAAAAGATAGGAAAGAAAACATAAAAATGGGTATCACAAGCAAGTCTGAAACTTGCCCTTGAACACAGAGTAGCTAAAGTAAAAGGAAGAAATGATCACATGAAAGAGTTGAACAGAAGATGTCAGAGGGCAGCTAGAGAAGACAAAGTAAGTATTACAATGAAATGTGCCAAGACCTAGAAGTTAGAAAATCAAAAAGGAAGAACATGCTTGACATTTCTCAAGCTGAAAGAACTGAAGAAAAAATTCAAGCCTCAAGTTGCATTACTGAAGGACTCTATGGGCAAAATACTGAACGATGTAGGAATTATCAAAATGAGATGGAAGCAATACACAGAGTTACTGTACCAAAAAAGAAATGGTCGATTTTCAATCATTTCAGGCGACAATATATAATCAAGAACCAATGGTACTAAAGGAAGAAGTCTAAGCTACACTGAAGGCACTGGTGAAAAACAAGGCTCCAGGAACTGGTAATTGAGATGTTTCAACAAATAGATGCGTCACTGCAAGCACTCACTCATCTATGCCAAAAACGTAGATTAGCTACCTGGTCAGCCAAATAGAAGATCTGTGTTTGTACCCATTCCAAAGAAAGGTCATTTAATAGAGTGGAAACTGTCAAACAGTATCATTAAGGTTACACACAAGTAAAATTTTGCTGAAAATAATTCAAAAATCATTGCAGCAGTACATCAACAGGGAACTGCCAGAAAAATTCAATCCAGTTTCAGAAACGATGTAGAACAAGAGATACCACTGTTGATGTCAGATGGATCTTGCCTGAAAGCAGAGAATGCTAAAAATATGTTCACCTACGACGCTGCAAAGGCATTAGACTCTGTGATCAAAACAAATAATGGGTAACATTGTGATGAATGGGAATTCCAGAACACTTAACTGTGCACATGAGGAACCTATATACAGGCCAAGAGGCAGCTGCAAGAACAGAACAATGGGATACTGAGTGTTTTAAAATCAGAAAAGGTGTGTGTCAGGGTTGTATTCCTTCACCATACTTATCAAACTGTATGCTAAGCAAACAACCTGAGAAACTGGATTACATGAAGAACAATGCAGCATCAAGATTGGAGGAGAACATATTAACAACCTGCAATATGCAAATGATACAACCTTGATTGCTGAAAGTAAAGAGCATTTGAAGCATTTAATAAACCAAACCAAACCCACTAGCATCGAGTCAATTCTGACTCATCACAACCCTACAGGACAGAGTAGAAATGCCCCATCCCATAGGGTCTCTAAGGTTGTAAATCTTTACAGACGCAGACTGCCTCATCCTTCTCTTTTGCAACAGCTGGTTGGTTTACATGCTAACTTTTTGATTCACATCCAAATGCTTTAACCACTGTGCCATCAGAGCTAAAGATCAAAGACTACAGCCTTCAGTATGCATTATATCTCACCCAAAAGAAAACAAAAGTCTTCATAACGGGACCAAAAAGCAACAGCATGGCAAGTGGAGAAAAAATCAAAGTTGTCAAGGATTTCATTTTACTTGGATCCACCATCAACACCCATGGAAGTAGCAATCGAGAAATCAAATGACACATTTCATTGGGCAAATCTGCTCAAAAGACCTCCTTGAAAGTTTTAAAAAGCTATATGGAAGATGAATTTGCGCTGTAAACTTTTACCAAATCACAATAAAAATTTAAAAATAAATAAATAAAAATAAAAGTTTTAAAAAGCAAATATATCACTTTGAGGATAAGTGTGCCTGACCCAAGCCATGGTATTATTAAGTGCCTCATGTGCTTATGAAACCTGGACAACAAATAAGGAAACCAGAAGAACTGATGCCTTTGAATTACAGTATTGGAAAAGAACACTGAATATACCACGGACTGTCAGAAGAACAAAGAAATCCGTCCTGGAAGAAGTATAACCAGAATGCTCTTTTGAAGTGAGGATGAGAAGACTTTGTCTCATGCATTTTGATCACATTATCAGGAGGGACCAGTCCCCAGAGAAGGACATCATGCTTGGCAAAGTAAAGGGTCAGGAAAAAGGGGAAGACCTTCAAGAAATGGATTAACATAGTGGCTGCAACAATGGGCTCAAATTGTGTGCAACCATTCTGAGGATGGTGCAAGACAGAGCAGTGTTTTGTTCTGTTGTATACAGGGTTGCTATGAGTCAGAACTGACTCTGTAACACCTAACACCCACAACTATAACAAACAGAACTCAAATAGCATGAAAAGTGAACAATTCATATGCAATGAGTTTAGTCAACTCTAAGACCCGCAACAATATACACTACTTTAAATTATCTCTTTAATATTATTCAGGTTTGTGAACCTGGTAAAAAAATATATATATTGGAGTTCTGGCAAGATGGCTGACTAGGCAGAAAGACTGCACAGACCCTCTTCAACAAAGGAAAGGGAAACCAATTAACAAAGACACAGAGGATAATCCTGGACCCCTGAGCCTTGAAGGGAAGGATATAGAAGTGGACTAAACCCCAACCAGCAGAAGAATTCGAGTTAAAATACCAAAAAAGGAGACATACGGAGCTGCGTTCTGGCAGCAATCCTGAGCAATCCTGACAGCACAGACAGCTTGGAGATTCCCAAGTGGTGGTAGGACCTAAGAATTAACCTAAAAATCACGTTGCTAGCCAGGGACTGCATGGAGGACTGTGCACAGTGGCTGGGGAACAAACAGAGAAGGTGAAGAGAAAGGTGGGCTGAGCTGTGGACTTTTGCTGGTACAGAGCTTGCCGCCATTTTGTAGGTTTAAAA